TTCATTCAGGTCTGGTCTGGTCTGATTTCCTTTAAATCAAAATAAATATCAAATCTTGCCACACCCAGCCCAGATATTGGTATTGGTATTGGTATTGATCAAGAAACATGAGATAGATTGATTAAACAAATAAGAAACAAAATATCTTACTCGTACATACAAAAAGAGCTGCATGCGATCCAAGCAACAAATCGAGGTATCGATGTATCTGGATAGAGGTATCTGGGTAGAGGTATCTAGGTGTGTGAGTACCGGTATTGCAAATAGATACCTCCCTCCCTCCCTAGCAATCCATAATCCAACAGTTACAAGAATTCCCACTGTAATCAACAAGAATCATGACAGATGAATGAATTAGGAAACATTATGATAGGATAGGATAAGAAATTGCAATATCATCCACCGGAATATCATCATATCAAACCCCAAATATGATAATCCCAGATCTAAACCTAGCACGTCAGGTCAGGTCAGACTCTGAAGCTTGAGGCAAATGATTCTTTCTTTCTTTCATTCTTTCATTCTTTCTTTTCTTCTCGAAAAGAACATCAAATCAACAGAATAATCCAGAAGAAAAAAAAACAAAATCCCCGATTCGATTGCCAAGGAATTTTCAACATCATCCAAACCCACGTCAAGATCAGATCAGAGCCTCTTACATCAACAACCAGGGATAAGGAAGGTTAGGTTACCATAAAAAAAATATCCACCACACCACAGGGTACACCAACCTTATTACCACCGGGACCAATCTCATCAAATTAATATCTCACCCAATGGATCGCAATACAATACAATCCACACACACAAAAACAACCACAACCACAACCACATCACAACTTTATGTCATGCCAACCTAACCGACCGCATCTAGAAAGAAAGTGACGTACGTATACTCGATTATAATGGAATACTCCATTTCCTTCCTTCCTTCTTCCCAACAACAACCACACCACACCATGACAGGACAGGTGCGGTGCGTGCAAGAGTTGGCGTGTGACAAGCCTTCGGGAGTCTGTTCGCCGGGAGTATGGGCCGGACCAGAACCTCGGAGGGTCTGCTGATCCACCAGTCTAGATTTCCTTTACCCGATCTTTCTTGTGCTACACAGAACTCCCCCCAAAAGACCAACCTTATACTTTTGCCCCCCTCCCCCCCAAAAAACCTCCCATTATTTTCAGGGGTTCGCCTTGCTCCTGGGAATATCGCACTAGGAATATATGTGCATAAAGTCATCATATGACGATGAGATTTTCTGCAGCTTTGACCGTTTTGTAGGATCGAATATGCATAAAGTGCATGCAACGTTTGATCTTGAGAAATTTAACACTTGTCTTGCGGTATGTACCCCGCCAACCTGGGTGGGGGGTTTTAATGGAGAGACTAGTATACATAGACCAGATGTGTACTTCACACGGCTTGAGATTCGGAGATCTAAATCTAGATGGGTGTCAGGAGGATCGCGATATCCGAGAGATGGAGGTTGTGGACCATATAACGGCCTTTATGGATGGGGAGTCCAGCATGTACGTGGGGGATCAGATATCAGGTAGCGGTCAAACATCATCACCACGAGGAAAGTGGGAAACCTTGTAATGACGGCGATTTCGGGTGGTTTTCATAGGAACACTTTCGTATTCGGTTCAGTGGGCTATCTAGAGATCGATCGCAATAAACCACGCAATAGCAGAGGATTTTCGTATAACCTCTTTAACAGAAGATTCTAGTCTGACATGACAGGAGTGGTACGTTTGTGCCAATTTGATTGATTACTCAACAGTCCCGATATGATGCTCGACCAAGCTATGAGATGAGTCCTGGACCAGGACTCCTGTTCGATAGACGTCCGACCTCAAAGTAAACTGCCCATGAGCGATCGAGTTTGTCATGCCAAAGATCTGCCACCAGATCGGAAAGCCACGCCACTTTTCAACGAACCACGCTGACCAACATCAGATATATCGTTGCCATACAGGAAAAGGACCGTGAAAGAGAATAGTCGGTAAGAATCTCCCGTCGGTAAGGTGTTTCTCAATAGCTTCTCCGAACGTGTTCAAAATGGGAACACATGGGGGCGAATATTCTCACACCTTGGTACGCCATGCCAAAGTGTGTTCAGGGATTGTGCCCGCAATCGATTCACGACGGCCGTACAATCTTTCGAAACTCATGTAGAAAACGATGGCGAGGAGACATAGAACAGTCGCGGCGAGTATGATGACGAGGATCGTAATACCTTTCACCGTCGAACTCATATAGTATGTGGTGTTGAGTCGCGACGTTGACTTCCGAATTGACGTTTGTAGAAAAAGTTAAGAGCCGAATAGGCCAAGATAATTGCTACACAAGCGAGGATTGATGGAAGAATGATTCGGAGTATGGTGTCCTCTCCCACGGTATACATGAATTGACACTTAAACTAAGCGTGAGTCTCGAAAGTACTATAGAGTAGGATATCAGACGATGTCTGTGACACACCACGACATGACTACAAGACCTCATACCTGCAAGAAGGATGTTGATGATGCAAATGTGATAAGTACCCTAATAATGTGTTCCTTTCGTCGGTCTGTGAGGTTTTCGAGGGTTAGGAATGACTCGCTCCTATGGATCGAAGTTCTACGATCTGAACCCGAAATAAAAGGTCAAACAGTATTTGAGGAAAGTTTCTGTGATACGTAGTATATGGCTGTCTAGGGGTGCCATAGGGAATGAGGGAAACATATGATTGAATAGAATCGAGAAAAACAATATAGAAAGAAGTTTCCAGAGACGATATTCATCGGAAATTTGATGATCATGGTAATGCATTGAGGAAAGAACTCATGATGGGTGGACGAGGTAATGGCGACCTGCAACTGCACCGACTGTTACCGCTCTAAGCATTTCAACCCCCAAATAATCATTTCCCTTTTTCCATTTGATTTTCTCGTATCGCAATGGAATTGTAAGATATAAAGACGTCAATGACTTTGATCAATTGATTCTCGGCCATGTGAGCGATGCGATGTAGAGTACAGTAGATAGAAAAAATTACCTATGTACCGGTATTCCCAAGAAATCCATAGTTAACCCCCTATCAGTGGATAATGAGAAGTGCGGGGTTCAATTCTCAGTGGGTTGGTTATTGGTTCAGCTACCTATGGACTTATCAATCTTATCCGAGGGGGCCCCAAAACCCAAACTCCCAAGCCCCTGGTACAGCGGCAATATGTTGTGATACCCAAGATCTAAGCCAGATCTGTGCAAGCAAAAGGGACAGTAGTTTCTGCCACGGTGAGAAGTATCTTTATGAAACCCCTGTTGCAAATCAGCCAGCGTCTAGATGAGTCCAGAAAATCGGGTGAATCCTCTTCACTCCCGGAAGTAGATATAATTTAAGTATATCTTATTCACTCGATTTTAACCCTTGTTGGTAAAGGGTATAACTCCCAATAATATCTTGTGAGGCTGAAGAATTGGTTGAGTCTGATGGATATTTCGATACCCTTGACCACACCCAAAACCCCGTAAGAAGATCAAATCCATGAATTAGAAAAGACTTGAAAGTCGATGCTGTAGATATTCCGTATCAAAAGTTTAAAAACTTCAAGAAAAGTCTCGAAGGTTTGTCTCCCGAACCTCCCTAATCTCCTTACAAGTAGAACTAATTGAATTAGACATATTTGGTTGAGATACTATTGTATTAGCTGTAGGTAGTTAAGATCCCCACGAGACCTTAACAGGGTATTGATAATCGATCATATAGCTTCAAAAGGGGTTTTGAGGAGCGCCACAAACACGCCATACTCTAAATGGTAATGATTTGACTGAAGAGCTGGGTAAAAGAAAGACTATTTGATTATCCTTCTACCCTGTGTCAATAAGTTTCACTGAAAGAAGAATTCTTTTCTGATTAGAGTTATTATCTGCAGAATAGATGATCCGTTGACTTCAAAGGAGAAACGACTCTTGGGATGCATCGAAGAAATGTTGAAAAGAGAACCAGATTCCTTTGATGTAACATTTACTCCCTGATCATTTATTGTATTTTATTGTATTTGCTGTATTTGTTGTATTTTGTTGTTGTTTTTGGTGGTAGTATTTTATGGTCATTTATTGTATGGTCACCCAAAACGAGCCGAGGTGACAATGGTGACAAGTTGCCGGGTCCCGATGGCCCTGTTGTTTTATTAGCGTGGCCGAGATCCCTTTACCGAGATAAGGATGGCTTGCGACTTACGACCGTGGTCCTGGACCACTCCCTTGGGAATACCGCATGAAAATCAATCTTGCATCTCGTTGCATGAGATCTATCCAAGATTGAACGTTGTATAGATCTAAGACTCTCACAATGATGTGTGTATCAGTGGAACCGGCTTCCCTTGCTTGGAATTCCCCGAGCAATAGTTCGGGGAAAAGAAGAAATAATGAATTCAAAAGGCCACACAGAGAGGAATTACCCGTGTAAAATCAAGATGTTGTTCTTCAATCGGTGCGGTCAGAGCTGATATTATCGAAAATAGATTGCTTTAACTGGTCGAAGAACACAAGCGGGTTGTTCTTCATTCGATCGAGGTGGCATGAACTCTTCTTGAGATACCACTCGGGATTGAAGATTCTCTCCCATCTAGGATATGATCTGGAAATATCTCAGCCTCATATTTTCTTCTCCGAGTGCGAGCCATGAAGAAAGATAAAAGGAGTCGTTTCGTCCATGTCTTCGAGGTATTTCTCATCATCATCATCTCAATCAGTCCTCTCTTCACATCGTCTTCACTTCGAGTACCCAAATCACAGTTCGAATCATCGTCCAGTCAAACACTTATTCCACCACTTCTCCATATCTTTGAGCATTACCGCATTCGACAATTCATAAGCTGTCGACTGATTTCAGACAAGAATAGCATCCAGAAAAGCACCCCTTCATAACACTTTGGTTTCCAGTTCCTGGTATCCGAAGACCTCTTACTTCAGCTCTCTCATACCCAGCAACCATCAATACCCACCTCACCTTAATCATGTTGTCGATTGCCGTTCAACCTCCCGCTCGAGCTCGTCCAGGAGCTATTTTGTATCCTCCCCTCATTGTTCAACTCAGCAGTGAGCATGATCTGTATGAACATCTCGCGGGTTACTGGACTTGTGTTACGCTCATCCATTACGCCACTGGCCAGGTCATATATGATCAGATGGATGGTAAAGCCGCAGACTCTGCGCATCCAATCGCCCAAAGCAGATCTAGAGGTGTTCGCGATCAAGCGTACTTCTTCTTCCCAGATCTTGCGATTCACGCCACTGGTCGCTACCGCCTCCGAATCAGCTTGATGAGAATGGACTACTCTCCCGAGTCAGGCCCGGATGGTGCAGTTGTTTGCGATGAACAGGTGGATACACGTTCGATTACCGTGGAAGAGTCCGGTCCAAACTATTCTCGACCAAGTAAGATTTCTCCAGACAATACTTAGAGACAAATTTGGCTAACAGATGTAGATTCTCAAGAACGTGCCTTTATTAGAATGCTACGGGATGATGGTCAAGATGTTCCAGCTCCAGCTCATTAAGCTCGGTCGGAAAGGTTGAAAATGTTGGGGAGTCCCACAACATGAGGTGGTATCGAAGTGCGGGGTAAACGCGGGCGGAATTTCATTATTCGTTTGGATGGATGGATGGTTTTTCGGACATTTGGTTTTTCGGGTGTTATCTTTTATTTATTTATATGTTCCTATATGTTTGGTATATGTTATCGGAGTCATTCCTTTTTAGAGGAGTACCTAGAGGAGTACCTAGGTATATACCATACTTGGGTATCTGTCGGTCTTTTGTTTTTGGAGGAGAAGGACAAGATTGGTCTTTTGTTTTTTGGGAGGAGAAGGACAAGATTTGCTATGGTGTAATGGGGATGGGGAAAGAGAGGATATTGTGCTTTGGATCAGATTATGATGGTTTGTCTGAATATGGAGTTGAAAAAGGGATTATCATTATTATGACTTTAACAATCCATTTAGAAAGAATTAATATGAATTATTATCCTTTTGAAAATAAACCATGAGATGTACAGTGATGAATCTATGTACTTGATCCCTTGATTCTTGGTGTGAATATGTTTGAATGAAGAAGAAGTAGGAGAAGAAGTAGGAGAAGAGAAAAGGGGAAGAGAAAAGAGGAAGGGGAAGGGTAAGATTAGGAAGTCTTTTGTACTTGTATACTCGAGTACGTACTGATACGGTACAATGATACCAACTAGGTAGGTAGAGGTAGATACTTAGGTAGAAGAAAATAAGAGAGATGAAGAAAAGAGTTAGGAGGATGAAGACCGAGCCTTTTCACGATATATCGATGAGAGATGAGATGAGACAAACCGGAAAGATTACTTATTCAAAGTCTGGACCTTTCTTACTTCCATAACTTGAATTCCCAAGGAGAATCTAGTGTTACTATTACTATTAAAGTAAGGTGGCTCAAGACTTTGGTGATTTCATGTTCTTTTCTTTCCAATGGCTTCTAACCTCTTTTCCAGAATAAATTTGGAACATATTTCTGCCACGAAAATAGAATTTATAGAAGGCGGTGTGGAAAATTGTGTATCCAACCATGTGTTGGACAAAGGGTTTGAGTGGGGTTAAATGCCTCAATTATAAGGTATAATTAATTCATCAAGGCTAAGATTTCCGTTTTATGTCTTAAAGGCGGTGAAGCAACAAAAAGTCACCCACTAAGCAAGAAGCATGAGCAAGAGTCATAAATCTTCAAATCTTCGAATCTTTTATAACTGAGTATTAAATTACATTACTCGTACATATAAAAACAAAACAGCTTCTCACTTCAACGATCATACAATCATTTCCAAAAAGAGGAAAAGGAAGTATACAGTATCTTTCTTCTGCTTCTTCTCATCAATACCTCCTCTCCTCTCCCTCTCTCTCTCTTGTCTCTCCCTTCTTTAACCCTACCCTTTCCCAAACCTTATGAGCTTCAACTTTTCTATCATTCGCAACAATTCACGCCATTGTCTAAAATTGATATCCACTTCAGTCCAAAATACCCCTCGATTTCAACCCCACCACCTCAATTCTTTTCGCACTTTTTCAACCACAATATACAAGATGGCGGCGACAGATTCGTCCTCAAACTTCCTCTTGGAGAAACTCAAGTCTTTGAATGTCGCAGATATACCAAAATTCCCTAATTGTCATCCTGATGTCAACATTGTCGATTTCTATCGAGCTCACATTACCACTACCCTATCCGAGATCACTGGTGTAGATTCTGCCATTATTTACCCTGCATTGGCATGGACGAATACTTTGGACAAAGGTGATTTGGTCTTACCTGTGCCAGCTCTGCGAGTCAAGGGTAAAAAGCCCACTGAATTGGCAGAGGAATGGGCCGCAAAGGTACATCTGTCGCAAATCATCTCGAATATGAGGATCACTAACAAACTGGAATGAATAGTATTCTGAATCTGCTCTCGTTCATAAACCTACCACCAATGGCGTCTACATGCAATTTTTCTTCAAAGCCGACAGACTTAACGAACTCCTCATTCCTACCATCATCCAACAAAAGACAAGCTTTGGACAAAACAAGTATCTCGGTCTCGTAGACCCTGAAGATCCATCAAAAGGGCAAAAGAAAATAGTTATTGAGTTCTCGTCCCCGAATATCGCAAAGCCTTTCCATGCAGGTCATCTTCGAAGTACAATCATTGGAGGTTTCTTGTCGAATCTTTACGCAGCAGTAGGATGGGATGTTACTCGAGTTAACTATCTTGGTGATTGGGGTAAACAATATGGTTTGTTGGCTTTAGGATTCGACAGATATGGAGACGAAGAAGCTTTGAAAGCAGACCCTATCAACCATCTTTTCCACATCTACGTCAAAATCAACACTGATGTGAAAGCCGAGACTGATCAGATGGCGGCATTGGAGGCAGAAGGAAAAACAGATGAAGCGTTGCATATCAAGAACGAAGGTCTGGACGAACAAGCTCGTCGATACTTTAAAGCAATGACGGAGAATGACGAAAAGGCGATTGCGCAATGGGCTCGATTCCGTGAACTCAGTATTAAGAGATATAAGGAGACATATGCAAGATTGAACATCCATTTTGATGATTACTCTGGAGAATCTCAAGTAAAGGCAGAGCAAATGGAAGAGACCGGAAAGAAAATGGAGGAAATGAAGATTGCCGAAGAATCGCAAGGAGCTATGATAGTCGATTTCACCAAACACGTTCCTGGGAAGATCGGTAAAGGTCTTGGAAAAGCAATTGTTAAGAGAACAGATGGAACAGCACTTTATCTTACTCGAGATATTAGTGAATTGTTACAACGAAAAGAAAAGTATGATTTTGACCAAATGATCTATGTTGTCGCTACCGATCAAGAGTTGCATCTACAACAATTATTCAAGATTATTGAGCTTTTGGGTTACAAAGAACTCCGAGCTAAATGTCAACACATCAATTTTGGGTTAGTTCAGGGGATGAGTACCCGTCGTGGTACTGTCAAGTTTTTGGATGACATCTTGAGAGATGTTGCAGAAAAGATGCATGAAGTTATGCAAAAGAATGAGGTAAAATACGAACAAATTGCCGATCCATTAGCTACTTCCGATATTCTCGGCATCAGCTCCGTCATGGTACAAGATATGAGTGGTAAACGGTAAGTCATTCGGTTAATTCTAGTTTCTTGCCCCTTTCCAATCTAGGATATTTCAGCTAACATATCCTGCCCATAGTGTTAACGGCTACACCTTCAATATGGATACCATGACATCCTTCGAAGGAGACACTGGTCCATACCTCCAATACGCCCATGCTCGTCTATGTTCCATCACCCGCAAAGCATCTCTTACTCCAGAAGAAATCGCTTCAGCTGATCTCTCCCTCCTAACCGAAATCCACGCACAAAATCTCATTAGAACCCTCTCACAATATCCAGATGTCGTCCAAAACACCATCAAGACCTTAGAACCAACAACTATCCTCACGTATTTGTTCAAAATGACTCATGTTCTGAGCAGCAGTTACGATCATCTCAGAATTATGGGTAGTGAGAGGGAGGTGATGAAGGCGAGAATGGCACTTTATGATGCCGCTAGAGTGGTACTTTGGAATGGTATGAGGATTTTAGGATTAAGTCCTGTGGAGAGAATGTAAAGGGTAGTGAGCTATAGTATAGTTGCGCAAAATTTCAGGAAGGAAAGGAAAATCAACAAGGCATGCATGGCCTTAGATGATGAATAGATCAAGAAGTCAAAAGAGCAAATATAAGCGAATGACGATTCATTTACATGCTGATATGAAGAAATGAGTAAGATCTGGCTGAGCTTGGTTAGAAAGGAAGTAAAATTCATGTTTATTGATGGCGAAATAGCTGCTAAAAGGGTAGATAGATCAATATCATGCATGATATCAAGGAATTTAATTGATCTGGATATATCGTATTTGTACGAATGCTCTCTTTCGATATCTAGTACTCGAGTAGATCTATCATACCTTCCATATAATCCTATCTAACCAATCTCTCACAACCTTTCTTCATTTCCCTTTTCTTTTCTTCTCCTATCCTGCCTACTCTTCATCTTATCTATCTGTGTCTATCTATCTACCTGTATCTATCTATCCCTCTCTTTCTTTAAATTATCTACATATCTATATATCTATCTATCTATAGTTTCGAGTACCGGTATAGAAGTAGAAGTACAAATATATGTTTTAATTCTTGTATCTAGTATAGAGTGAGTGAGTATCTAACACTATATGAGTAATGATTATAGTTCTTTCTTTAAAAGAGTATTGAATTTCATATGATATAAGATGATAGATAATTTTGGTATACTGTAAAGAAAGAAAGATCCTCTAGTCTTAATCTAATCTGATGTTTATATCGATACAGTATTAAGGTTTCGTTTTTTTTTGCTTGTCTGCTGTACTCGAGTATAAGTGAGTATATTATTATTTCACATTGCTTTCTCCTCCATTATTGTAAATAAAGTAAGCTCTAACTTAATTAGATATATCTCTGAATTCAATCTGAATTTTACTGAATGCGAAGTTTGTATATAAATACATACATATTCATGGTTTACAACATCGAATTATATGCATCCACCCTCCAAGTTCAACCATAAGAAACATCACCAACCAGTATCATACTATATATAAACACGAAATTTTGCATATACAATATGCATATGCATATAAATTCTAACCGCCTTCTATATATTTACCAACAAACAACCAAAAATCCAATATTCAGCCCCGTAGGATTAGGATTAGGATTTTCATTTTCATTTTCGCCTCGTCTCGCCTCGCTTCGTACTACGTAAATTCACATTATCTACTCGCTCGTAGTGGAATTCTTAAATCAGGGAGGGGTATGCAAAGTCAGCTTACATACTATATCCATATACAGAAAACTGCGCAAATCGCTTGTAGAAACTTGAAAGGAGTGAGTAATGTTTCATGTTGGACAGGGAAAAATCACATGTATGTACTAGTATGGTTTTTCTTTTGGGAGAGTGAGTAAATTGCTTGGATTGGATTGGAGTGAGAATGTGAGAAGGTAAACTTTCTGCCGCCAACCAACATAACATAATATGCATGTGTTTTGGAAAATCCTATGATATTGGCATTGGGCCACTTTTGGGAATGGGGTTTTGGTGGTGTTTGATGTTTCCTATTTTTTTCTTTCTTGGTTTGTTATTGGTTGGATTAATTGAATGGATGGATTGGATGAATGGGATGAATGGGATAATAAGCGCTGGGTTTTGACTGAGTGAATTGTTAACGGAATCCTCACTCAGATGGAATATCGCTATACAATATATCAGATGAGAAATATATCAAAATATCAGCCAAGCATCCAGGCTCATCGATATATGAAGAATACCTAACCTACCCACCCCATCATCCATCCCGCCAAGAACATAATACGACCCCCAAAAAAATCCTACTCCAACCTTCCATCTGAAGAAAACCCTCTAGCTAAGCATCAAAATAACGAACCAGCAAATCATCATCACAGAACGAACCAAACAGATCAACTTTGTAATACCATCCTCCCCCCTCTTTCACACTCGGCACTTCCCACGCTAGCATCGGAGATATATATGATATCAATGATCAATCTCAGACCCCCTCCCATTCATCTAAAATTACCCAATCCTAATCCCAATCCCAATCCCAATTCAAAATTCCCTCGACAAGGTTAGGTTGTGCGAAATCTATCTGTAATGAGACCACAGGATTGTACAAGTTGCAAGTTGCAACCAATAATCTGTCGGTTACCAATAAATATGAAAATTCACACTCACGTCAATGAATGAATGAATGAATCCCCTGATCCTGATTGGAGAATCGAGATGAAGGAAGTGTGTCAATTTGACACTGTGGAGAGGGGTTTGCGGCTCATTCACTTGGAGATTGTGGGCAATATCCGCATCCTCCGTATTGTACAGTACAGTGCAGTATCATCCAGATTGTATACTTAAGACTTCCTCTCGAGCCTTGAATTGGGAGTTTTCTTTTTCCTCACAACAACAACCTCAACCACGTTCCTTTTGACAAGTTTCCTCTCTTCGTTGATTTTAAATCGGTCTGTCTCTCTCTCTGAGTACTTGGTACATTCCATTCCTTCATACATATAAAATACTCTCCTTTTTGGTACATCAGTTGTACTGTACATTCTTTCGATATGCAGTCTTTTGTTATTACCCTCATTTGCGCGTTTTCCTGCTTGGTTTCTATGACTAGTGGGTACAAGTTGATTCATAATTATGACCATACCAACTGGTTCACATCGTTCATCTACGAGAATGTTAGTATACCCCCAAACACCTTCGATCTTACAAGAGAAACTAACCCATCACTAGCTCCCAGATCCAACTCATGGAAACGTCAACTATGTCTCCCTAGCTGATGCTCAGAAGCTTGGTTTGACTAAAGTCATCGGAAACCAAGTATATATGGGCGTAGATAACACCACTGTTCTCTCCGATACCGTCAATGGAAAACGCAACAGTATCTGGATCGAGTCAGTTCACGAATTCACTCACGGTATTCTTATTGGTGATTTTGCTCATATGCCCGGTAGCGACTGTGGTACCTGGCCTGGATTGTTAGTATTCACTTTCCCATCTCATCTCCTCTTCCAAATAGCACTAGCCACTAACAAAAACTCGCTAGCTGGACCATCAGAAATGGCGACGGTCCATACGGCGAAATGGACATCCTCGAGGGCTCCAACGACATCACCCAAGCCTTCATCTCGCTACACACCGAAAACATCTGCTCCTTCACCTCAGCTCCCTCCACCCAACTCGGCACTCTCAACAACGACAACACCAACTGTCAACTAGACAATGGTGCTGGCTGCTCGGTTGAATCGACCGCCAATTCATATGGTACTCCGTTTAACAAGAATGGTGGGGGCGCCTATGCTATGCAGTGGACTTCGAAATTTATCCGTGTTTGGTTCTTCCCGCGCAATAAGATGCCGGCTGATATCACGGCGGGTAATCCGGATCCATCGAAGTGGGGTTCGCCAACTGCCAATTTTGATAGTGCGCATGGTGGTTGTAATATTGATGCTAATTTCCCTGCACAGACTGTGGTAAGTCTTGTTTATTTCTATTTCTTCTTATAATCCTCTCATCATCCCCTTATCAATACTCCTTCTACCTTCTTCTCTCCCTCTCTCCCAACTCAACTCAAACCAAACCCATCCACCTAACCCACCTTCCCTCCAGTACTTCGACACGACCTTCTGCGGCGCCGGCGCCGGCGGCCAATCCTGGTCCCAATGGTCCGACTGCCCCGCCAAAACCGGCTACTCCACCTGCGCCGAATACGTCGCCAAAGTACCCCACGCCTTCGACGACGCCTACTGGCTCGTCAATTCTGTTAAAATCTATCAATAAATAGATGAATAGATGAAGACTCGAGCATCCTCTTCTACTCATTGTACATACTCATCACTGTCTCTGTTGTATCTATCAAACACAGCTCGCTCGTTCGTGGCGTTGTATTATTTTCAATATAATATGGGTATGGGTATGGGTGATTCGTTTGATACGAATGGTTGTGGTTGTGGTTATGGATAGGAATACATAAAAGCAATGCGGATATCGGAAAATCCAATATCCAGCGTCTCTCTTTGTCCAGCCTTGATGGCTGGGTGCATGGTATGCATGGTATGCATGGTATGGCATGGCGTGGTACTCGGTCTCTGATTCATGGGTACATATATTTTAGGTAAAGGATGGGTGGGCTCTTTGCTTTTCTGCTTCTGTGGCTTCGGGATACGATTCTTGATTTGATTGTGTCTTGGGAGTTGGTTGATAGATAATTGTATATTGCTCCCCACATCTAATTTTTAATGGAGTTTGTGATGTGATGTGATTTGATTTGATGTTGTGGTGTATGGTGTTTGAATAATAGATGGAGATCGAGGAAATTTATCCAGTCAAAGGTCTAGCCAAAGGATATACTGGTGAAATGGTGAACCTTGGGCGTACTATCAACAAAATTGCTGGAGACTTAGTGTGATAGTCTGTAATTTGGACTTCGTTCTTCCCGGGCACTTGCTAATGGGAGTTAACATGCGCACTTACTCTTAGGACACAGCCATTTACATTCCTCACATCAGTACCCAACCTACCGCATGTTTTAATCATTCATTATCCCTCTTCTACGATGTACTTTATGCTTTCCCAGTCGACCCCATAATATCCATTTGATGTTCAATCAATTCCTGAATCAAACTTGTTCCCTTCTCCATAAGTTCCGTTAGAGGGACTTTCCCCGTATTTTCCGCAACATATTTGTTATACATATTCAAAACCAAATCATTCAGATTACATCGTGTCATTCCTCCTTCTATACAGCCTTTCATTGTTTCGTCCGGGAATGTATTGGTGCCGTGAAGAACTAATCGTACCCGACCATTTGTGGCTTTTCTTATGCTTTCCAGTCTGTGCACGTGTGTTAGTCTCATGATAATGCCAACAGAGCTTTCCTTTGAAAGACAAGCACAATTTGCACACCTATCAAAATCCAACTTGATATTCTCCACCCCCCCATAATTCCCATGCACATTCCCAAAAGCCGGCGCCAAAAAGTCCACCCCCGTCTCCACAAACCCCAACGCCTCTTCAGGAGTCGTGAGCAACCCCTCCAAATCCCCCGTATCCTTCACTCCATCCTCACCCCCATTAATCCTTCCACATTCCGCCTCAACCGCTATACCCTTCTCCCTCAAAATGCGCGTCAACTTCTTCGTCTTGGCTAGATTTTCCTCTTTCTCGTAATGCGACATATCTACCATGATACTATCGAAGAGTCCCATATCAGCAGCTTGGAGAATCTCTGCCTCGGATTGTGCATGGTCCATGTGTAGGACTATGGGAACAGTGGCGGTACGACAGGCGGCGGCTGCGAGGTGGATGAGAAGGGGTGAGTAGTGGAGGGACCAGGGGAAGAGGAGGATTTGCGCGGGGGATCGTTTGTTTTCTGCGGCGCGGACGATGGCGGTTATGGTTTCGAGATTGTACTGGGAGGAGATTGATTAGTTATGTGGTAGAAAGAGAGAGATAGAGATGTTGACAATGGGACTCACAGAAACTACCCCTACAACACCATAGCCGCCATCTTCTGCTGCTTGAAGCATACGAATTGCCTTGTTATCCTGCATTAATTTTGCCATTATGTACAAACCTTTTGTTCAGAGTATGAAATATGAGAGAGGAAAGAAAAAATAAAGAAGAATGGAAAGATACTTGGGACATTGTTATTGTTATGCTGTGATAAAGATTAATCGTGGATGGCCCCACGATTGAATAAACAGTGGAAGTGGAGATAGTTTCGGGAGGGGCTGTCCCGAACCGTCCCGATATAGTGGGGCAAGGTTTTACCCCGCCATAGGAAAGAGAACTCCGGATATTGATAATGCATCGGCATACTTTCCTGTCTAGATTTGAGCTGATAAGAATGTAATGCATGAAGACTTAATTAATGGGATGAAAAATTCGACTACCAGTACCTAGCTTATTGTTGCCAAAAATGAAAAGTGCTATTTGGAATGGGATAGTGCAAATAATATACTTCACTTCGAACAATAACATCTAGACCTTATTCCAGGGGGTGTCCGATAGACCGTACTGCAGTCCAACATTGAGCATTTGTTGATCCTTGAGTTTGTTTGGAAGATTTGAATCGTTCGAAAGATTGATATCATTTGGAAGATTCAGTCTATTTGAAGGAATGGGTCCATTCAAATAACAAAAAATAATCCTCAGATATTGATATCTATTCGAGAAACAGAAGCTTGGGTCTTGGGCTGGTCCACTAGTCCGGACTATTCGATACACTTTCTCTTCCATACATACTTGCTGCTGCTTGTATTTCAGCAAATTGTTATGTCTGCTCGAGAAACCTATTTCACTAACTTAACCGTGTTAATTTGCAGGATACGTTGTGTCCCTACTCACTAGCAGCTGTCCTGCAGCTATTCGGAGATGGTTGGCGGAAAAGAATCAGGCCTGAAATCTTGTCAAGAAGTTCTGGTGGGCAATAGTCGGGACCAGGGAGATGAGAGGACGATTTCCGTAGTAATTAATGGCGTGTTTACTCGTCAATTAGTTTGGTGTTCACATAGACGGAGCCCCTAGGAAGTCAAGTGTGGAGCAGTAGCCGTTCATCAAATATCATACCATGGCTTCCGTCCGGGATGGCAACAGAGCCAGATGATTTAGTGTACTATGAATTCTCGCTCAAAATCTGCTACACCACTCGATCGTGCCAAATTTATTGGGATTGTTCATATCCATAGATGTATAACAGAATTCGATCATACAATATTCAACGCTCGTGATGCATGGTGTAAAAATAAGCTGGATTATTCTGAGATAATGACAGAAACTGCGGCGTGAAAGTCTGCACTTGATTGTCAGACCTAGAGAGAAGAGTGAATGACATGTGCAGCCCTTTTATTTGCTCCATGGGTCTGAAAGATTGATACGGATCTACTACAAGTCCCTCAGTTTGGTGTAACTCACTTCTGATATGTGTTACACGATCGACAACGCTGAGATATGTGAAAAGAGACCTAGGGAGGAATTGAGGTATGTTTTGTTTGGTAGCGACCAATATCTAAAGTACAGGACAATCTAGCAGAGAATCAAAGACCTTTTGGATCATCTTGGATGGCGGTAGGCAATTAGAAAACGTTTGACCGTTGAGAACATGAGACGGTCGTGAAAAATATGGGATGCGATTTTGAAAGTTGAAAGTGATACACAATGGTTGACAGTCGATAGGGTAGTGTGAATGAGCAAGAAAAACCACTAAAAATTGAGTGATTGTCGTTGATTGTCAAAGGCTTGGATGTTAAGACGTCAAAAATTCGTCAATTTGACGCGAGTATAGGTCGGCAGAGGAATGAAATTCAACGTTTTTCGGAAGAAGAAGATGCTCTCAGTGTCTCAGACTGAATTTGCATACGCAAACAACTCGATCGTCAAGAACTATACCTCCCTACCAACTTGCTAATATGTTCCTGGTACAGAAAAGTAAAGACATTTGAAATAAATATAGACGACCACCGATATCAATCGGTACCTGCCTCTTGCCAAGAGAACCCCGCTATAATATGTTCGCGATATAGCAAAGACATACGTACTCGAGCTGGCAGGAAGTATACAAATTCGGGTATCTCGATGTGTGCCCTATAAGGGTAAACTACAGGAGGAAAGAACTCTTTTATCTTAGCGGTGATATGTACATTGTAAATTTATGGCGACACGAATAGCTAAAACTCAAGTGAGGTCTTTTGGGTGTTCATCAGCTTGATAGATGTGTTCTAGGATCAAGCCAGCCTTGAATATCTGAACTTTGATATCTTCGAGACCGTCCGTGGGAAAAACATTGGTCCTGTGGCTTTATGGCTGACGGAAAATGCAACAGGATACAGTAGAACCTACCGAATGTGAATCTGCACAAGAAAATGTTTATATAGCAGCTGTTGAATCGCTTGGCGCTGCGGCTTGAAGGTTGGAGGGCTTGAATAAAAAAAGGATGGAGCAGATGGCAAATGAATACATGCTCCATCCTAGATTCAAAACCTGACAACTATGTCTGTAAAAGCCAAACTGTGGCTGGATAAATGCTTCTAAGCCTCTTCTATCATAAAATCTCCATTATTACTCTGTACCAAACCCATCTGTCCACAAATCACGTCACCTTTCGCCTGTCTCCATTTCCATCTATACCATCATCTTTTGTGTACCTCAAGAACCCAATAGAGGTCGACTTACCCCTAGCAAAAGGAACATAAAAACTTTCAAATAAAAGGAGGTCGTCTATGTGGAGAAATCAGGAAGTTCATCCGTCTCAGATATTAATTAAAAAGCTTATGCGGACATACAAACGCACGGGCCACCAAACGATTTCCCGCTTACGAAGCCTACTAGTAGTACGGGTAAGCAATTATCTCAACTGAACGTCCAAGATCTCCGTTGCTACAGTATCGTCCCATATAAACAGATTGCTCGTGAGAGTTTAGGAGAATTGGTAGATTAATCCCCGCGACTGGTGGTTGGCTAAGTGGACGTTTTTAAACATTACCTTGCACGACTCAACTGAGCTCATGAAATCTAGAACCTCCTTGAATGCTACTCTGAAAGGAGGGATTCTTACAGGCTTCTTCAGCGCGAAGTTGAAACAGTGCGAAGTTGAAACATCGCATCTGGGTGGAAGTACCGGTAGGTAGACACGCGTGAGTACTTGGCGATCCGCTGGTGATGTTGCCGCTGATCATTTTGTTTATATGCACGCAGCAGCAACGACATTATAGTCCAGAGTATGACCTAAAACTGAGACACGAATCAAGCAGCTGATTCAAGACGTGATTCTCAGTTCACATCAGGAAAGGGTTCGATGATAACATCGGACGGTCTTGGACATAGGACTGTGGAGTTACACAACAAACTACTGTCTGGCAACTTGCATTCCAGAATAACGCAAATCTGATCTCACAATCAATTTATTTCGATGTTACTGTACATGGTAATATGAGAGTCGTCGGAATCGGGTTGCAAGTTGCAACAAGGTTTCGTAGAAATTAAGGTGCGAGCCAGTGAAACAAAGTTCATCTAGATAGCTAAAGGTACAAAGCTCAAACAACAATCTTATCCCTAATTCTTTCAACTTTGAACGATTTTTCTCTGGATAATATTGCACTTAGATCTTATAGCGCACCCTAGGTTGAGTAAATTGATACTACTTTTATGAGAGTCTTATGGCAAGACCCTCAAGTACATTCGGAAACCCACTAGCGCGCATGTGCATCACCTTGTCGAGGACTAAGAAGGTATCTTCTTGTAGGGTAAGAGTTATTGATGAGTTTGCGAATGCCGGCTAATCACTTCCTCCTCCTTTCCATTTTCTTTTTCGTGGAGGACCATAGATCCATTGACAGGGCTTGGAGAGTGTTTGCTGGAACAAATATGCTAGTGCTATTGGGCCCCTTTACCGAGCTCGAGTGATGAGTACCGCCCAGTGATGTCAAGATAGATATAAAGGATGGGTTAATCCCACAATCATTTTATAAACCCATATTTAGAGCATCCAGTCTTTTCAAGCTTCAATCTTCACATTCAAAACTTCAGCTCCCGGTCTGAGCCTTTTCAAAACAACTTTTCAAATCCACTCTCTCAACAAAACTCTTCAATTTTTCTATCAACTTCTTCGTTTTACCAATCACATTTCAAGTTTTCGACTTTTAACAAATCATCAAAATGCATTTCTCAAAGATTATCGCTGCTGATTTCCTTGCCGCTCCTCTCGTAGCTGGCCAAGCTTCCGCTTTCGGTGGTGCTGTCCCAACTGGTACTGGAGAGATTGGTTCTCGTCCATCTGGCGGTTTCGCCTCGGCTTCTGGCGGATTTGGAGGACATGGTGGACATGGTGGACATGGTGGACATGGTGGACACCACAGCGGTAGCGCTGGCGTTCAACCAATCGGTTTATCTAACTTCGCAAACAAGGCACAACACTCTGACATAGCTCAAGCTTCAGGCAAGGGTGGTCTCAAGGGAGGAAAGGGTGGTTCTTCAATGACAGGTGCCTTCGGAGCTCAATCTACTGGAGGTTCCAAGCCTTCTGGTCATCAAAAACGTCAACAGAGCAGTGCCGCCTTTTCACAAGGTGGTGAGATGCAACAACCTACTGGCTCATTGTTCCAGGGTGGTTTTGCTTCGCCAACTGGTGGTTTCGGAGGTCATCACGGCGGCAGTCACGGACACAGTAGTCAAGGTAGTGACGATGAATCTACATAGCATTTTTTCGCTCCCGTAATATCTGTCCACCAGGCTTGGACTTGGAATCTTCCCCCTATTGCACGTAACCTTACGATATATAATATTTCCCCCAGAGATTGAATGAATTCTTCAAATAGAAGCGCACGAATATCATGAAGCCAGAAGCCATGTGATCTGCGACGTCTACTTTCATTAGGACACATACAGAAGCCCGGAAACCAAGGCAAACATGGTCTAATGGTCAAAGGAGAAGTGTCGGACTTGGGTCAGATATGTAACAAAACATTGGAGAATGCTTGAAAGGTGGAAATTTAGAAATATAGACAAGACATAGGTAGACGAGAGTGAATAAATATTGAAAAGAGGAAAAGTATTATGTTTATATCAGATATGCAACAAAACTTTTAAGAAAAGGATGAAAGGTGAATAGAATGAAAGGTAGATAAAAGTGTCTAACTTTTGTTAGATATGCAACAAAACCTTGGAGAACTTTAGAAATTAGAAAGAGATATGAATAAGGATAAATGAAGTATTAGACCTGTATTAGATGTGCAACAAAACTTTTGAAGCTATCGAGGAATAAAAGGACTATTGATTTGTTAGGATATGGATAGGGATATGGGATGAGATATATCGATATCTTCCTTGAAAGATTAGACTGGATATTTGAGACACTGCTATACTACTACTATTACTCCACTACTACACTAATACACTGCCGCATCAATATATGTATATCATCAACTCGAATATTAGTATTATATATATCCAGAATTGATATATACTATAATAATAATAAATAAATAATAAACCAATATAGTAAAATAGACATTCACAAAATCACAATATTATTGGTAGATACTAACTACAATCTCAATAAATTCTACTAACTTAACTCCAATTTCTCACCCACAAACATCAATTCTTTCCAACCCTTTTTACTATAAGTTACTTTCTATAGACAACTACTGCAATACAATACACAAGTCAAGTGAAGTTTAGATATTGAAAGTTTGTATTACAAACACAAACACTAACACTCTGTCACTGCCTTCCTATTCACCGCAACTTCATTTTGTAATCAATCTCTCTCCACCAACCTCATAGTTCTTCCCGAAATCATAAAGAGGATGTTTTATAAGGAAGAAAACGTTTTACATACTCCATTCTCTCCTTATGACATGGGATTCAAATTTCCTCAGTCTCCTATTTAGTATTTACGGCACCCTGAGATCCGAGCATTCCGTGCAATAATTCCAATTATCAAAATGCTTGTACTCGAGTATATATCTACCAGTGCTTGCTCAGTCTCACATAAAAGGTGATAGATACTTGTAGTTATCACCGTATAATTTGCGCGGACATCACTCCGCTCCATCCCATCCCATCCCATCCCATCCCATCCCATCGCAGAGTTCCTCTAGTACCACAAATTCCACCCTCCTGCGGAGTTGGAACCGAAAATGATTAAAGGGGCCCGAGTACTCCGGTCCACTTAACCTTAATCTCTCCGCATACTAAGCACTTATTATCCTATCTATCTATACACTGGAGATTATGAGATTGGCATGTACTCGTAGTATCAATCCTAGTCTTGTATTATTATCTCCCAGCTTCGGTTATGTATAACCACAACGGCATCAATATCCGTGCGGAATACACGACAGCTAGCTACTAGCTAGCCGTCTAGCCAGCTATGAGAGAAATCCCGAGTGGAGTCAACCAGCCATCCTACACATGTACCTCCATTCAGTCCGCGGGAAGCTGCAAAGAAAAGATATCTGTACCATATCAAGTAACAATCGGAGACGGACCCGAGTAATGGAGATCCGGAAGTGAGTTTATCAAATGGGATATAATATTTTTAATGTACAGTATATAGCAGTAGCATCCACAACTCTGCAATTCCAATTCCAATCTAGATCTCAACTCCACCCTCATCTCCGCCTTATTATTAACCCCACAGACTACCATGTTATTTAACCCGTTCCCCAGATATGTGGTAGGTCTCCTCTTTCTTATCTCCCATATCTATGATCCATCAACATCTAACCTCAAAAGCAATCTGAGAAGCGGAGTCTTAAAAGCGGAGTCTCAGCCCTAACAAAAGGAGAACGGAATATGGACCCGAGATTATATTATACCTTTATAATATCTCGTAGAAACATTGTATCTCTACATACATACAGGTGATATATTATATGATTTCCGGATGCCGAACATGTGCATGTAACTTCACAAGAAGGGGGTGTAGTATACCGAGTTTGATGAGTTGAAAAACGAGAATGCGGGATAAAGATTCAGTAGCTTAGCTGTATGTAATAGGAGTACCATATCATCACAGTGATACTCATCTAGAGTAGTTATAAGAACCTTTGATATGGAGGTTACAGTAGATGCGTATAATGCTCGAGTATAGTATACAGTAGTATAGAACTTCAATACTCAAGCGAGCATTCTAAAGCGGAAACAAGTACTCATCCAGGAATGACATGCCTATACGAGTAAACCTGAATGCATTTCTTTCCTAGTACGTAAAAGATAAATCATCTACTCGAGTATATGTATATGGCCGTAAATCATACTGTGTAGTCAGTTATATATATAGCTTTGGGTCAAGATACACAAGTATTCAATTCAATTCATTTCACGAATGGTATCCATTATATGATGTAAAACTCGCTCTCATTTCCCATTCGCAATCTCAAGATTCGTTTGAACCTCAATAAGACAAGTACATCTGGATATTACAATTATACCTTAGAATTTAAGATGTCATATCCATCCATCCATCTATCTATTTACACTCCAGGAATATACTCAAGCACAAGTATATCTGATTCAATTTTTTCATGTCAATCAGAAACTCCAGAGTTCATCTCTTTTTCCTCCCCCCCCTCCCCCCGCCCCCAATTTCCAATACATCCAGATGTTCTTGGTGACATGAAACAGCAATCTATTTATACATACATAAATACATACATACATACATACATACATACATACATACATTAATACCCAACCCAACCCAACTTAACCCAACCCTCAGATCCCCGTCCATGCTTCGATATTGATATTGTATTGTATTCGAGTCCTAGTCCCACTTCCACTTCCACTTCCACTTCCACATCGACAATCCCATCTCCCATCTCCCATCTCCCATCTCCCACCTATTTTCAAACATAACATACATCATCATAGCAAACCCAAATCAAACACAGTCCTAACCCCAATAAACCCTATATCTCCACCTCCCCCCTACCCAATATTCAATATTCAATATTCAATATCCTATCCACTCACAATCTATCCATCCATTCAACATTCAACATCCAACATTCAACATCCAGTATAAAACCATGCGTCATACTGTACTCATATATAATCTCCACTTTCTACTTGAATTTATATTTATATCTATCTTCCCCTTTCTTTACCTTATACACCCTTATACACCCTCTCCTCTACTCAATTTACCTTATTCCCCCTCTCCACCCTCCAACCTTCTGCTCTTCTACTCTCCCCCCAGCCTTCCACTCCCCTCTCCCCTCTCCACCTTTCCACTCTTCCAACCACATCCCCATCCCCCCATCTCACCATCTCCCCATGTACTTCCCTCCCTCCCTCCTTCCCACCTCCCTCCTTCCCACCTCCCTCCTTCCGCTCTTCCTCCCACCTCCCAATCCAATCAAACACCAGAACCCCATCACATCAGAATCACACACATCACCACCTCACCTCACCCTCTCAGAAACCCTTCCCTCCCCCTTCCCTTCCCCTTCCACCCCATCTGCAACATCTATCTATTCATTCCCTCATGACCTCACTCGCTTAAGCCTTCTATTTCTATTTCTATTTCTATTCCTCACCCTCTCCCTCTCCCTCTCCCATTCCCCTCGGCATAATATTCCATCATATTCTAACGTCATGGTATACATCTATCCCATTACACCCATTCACTCATTCACCCATTCAAATACATATCAACCACACACTTTCATAAAAATTATAAGATCTTACAAACACAGATATCATCATGATGGATTTTGTCTCATTCATTTTATCATCTCAATCTCATATGACTCTCGCCTACTTACTTGGCTTTTGCCTTTCTCACTTCTTCATATCATTCTCTCTCATTTCTCAATCCATGAATGGCCCATTCTTCATCATCCACCACTTCCTTCACTCTCATCCATGAATCCGCTATACTGTTTTCATTCCCCCTCGAAGGCCAACCATTCTTAGGTTCATTCACATTGATCTCCGTCTCCCGCCAATAAGAAATAAAAAAACCCATCATTTTGTATGCACATAGTATCCTCCTTCCCTCATTCCCCTTCCTTATATGCCAGGGTTCCCCCCATCCGTCCGATAACAACTAAAACTTTTTGATCCTCTTCATTCATTTCTCTGCATCCGTACCACCAGTCAGTCCGATGCGGTACAATAACCAAAGGTTCAATCTTTCCTCTCCCATAGAAAGAGTTCAGTGTCTCTTTGTTATCCTCAGCCGAGGAGTAAGAAAACGATTTGCCTCCCAGTCCCCCAAAGCAAATAAAACTCCAGAGTCTAAGATAACCGGGTCCATCCGAAATTAGAACAGACCAATTGAACGAGTAGGTGTGGCGCGAGAAGAAAAGAAGGACATGCAAGAAAAGAAAGAACAACCTCCCAAAGAAAAAAAAAGGAACGCTAAAAAAGTACAAGAGCAAAATGTAAAAGCAAGATGATCATGAGCATGATCATCTTTCCCTTCATTCGCATGCTGCCCAAATATCTCCCTTTGCAAAAATGCTAAACAAATATGAATTGAGAAGGTCGTATTCGTGAGGAGAGAGATATATTAACAGTTGAAGGGAGAAGATAGGTAATTAATCGAATCGAGAATCACAACTCAATAAAGAGGTGATTAGTCTGATCCATTAGAGGACACAGCAAGTGTCTTCTGAAAGAAGTAAATATTTGTTTCATGATTCCGAGCATTCATGATCCTCATCGTAGATGGGCATTTTTTTTCGTCGTTTATTAACATCGACAAGTTAATCATTAAGAAGTTCATTCAACCTCGAATTGCTGTTGCTGGATGAGTGTCGTTGAATGAAAAACCACCATGCGTGTGGTAAGGATACATCGGAGACGTACCCGAAACAAAGCCCGTCATGGGAGCAGGCGATGTAGAACGAGTCCCCTGAGGGCTTACTTCAGGTGATTGGAAGGAAGGTCGAGTATCCATGTGTGTCATGGTGGTTGGTGAGTTGCTAGCTGTAGAATCCGAGGAACCAAAGGAGTAACCATCATCATTATTTCCATCAAACTGACCAGGTCTCGCAGTACCATCTTTCAATTGTGGCGAGTTCTTCACTGACCCAAACTATAATACAATATACAGTTAGCTTAATCCTTTACTAGGCCCAGTGGTGTTCGTTGGTACGTACGAAGCAATACTTGTCGAGAAGTTCGTTGTATGATTGTGATGCCAGTACGGGCTTCTCAGTACCAACGGGTCTTGGTGAATCTGTTCCACTGGTGGTTGTGTTCACAGTAGGCAAAGTCTTGGTGGGAGAGGATTTGTCAAAAGTCATTGGAGCCGACATTGAGAGTGGTGATACTTGTTCATCACGATTGATAATCTTTCTCGGTTCACTCTCTAGTGCTAGGTTCTTTGACTTCATCGTAATACCACTCTTATCACCAAGGGAAGAATTAGCGGCACTTATAGCAGCATTAAGAGATGCACCGAAGTCATATCTGTGACCAAAGGCTTGACCACCGGCTGCGTTCGTGTTCATTGTTGCACGTCGACTGCGGTTATCAGATGCCAAGGTGACAGCAGATTTGACTCCCTTCAATCTTACTATATTTGATTCTCCAAGGTAATCTGCGACTGGCAGTTTGAAGTTGGTGCTCAAATATTTCGAATCGAAGTCATTCGAGAAGTCATCGAAGGTTGCAGACTTCTTCATTGAAGCAGTCGGCGGTGACTTCTTGTTACTTCTCGGTAATGAGTTAGCTGATTTTGATGCTGCTCCTGATGAGCCTCTCTTTCCACTTTGTGGCTTCGCCTTCTTTCGGAAATCGATTTGGAAGTTGGTCGAGTTGTTGTTGTCCCAGTATTCCAAACCATTGACATAATACTTCACACAAAAGAACATGGTCTTGGCTTCGAGGTTCGCTTGATCAGCAAGCTTGATGTTGAAATTGAAACGATCACATCCATCCGTATGTTTGGGTTGACGAATGTCATTGTTGTATTCAGCAACAACTTCCGACGTGGTCTTCCAGTAATCCAATGTGAATCTAGCTATAACCAGTTTGTTGAATGCCAAGTTGGCAACAGCCACAGTTCCGATCAAGTTCTTATTATCTGCGGATAAGAAAACTCTCTCAACTCTGATAGGCATCACTGCTCGTTGTGCAGTCATGGCAGGAAAGTTGGAAATGACAATCTCCCATTCAAATGGTGGCCCTCTGTTATTGGAGTCATCATCATCATTACCAAATGGAAACTCAGAATCACTTTCGTATGCTTCCACGGGAGAAGAACCGGCACTGACGGCGAGAGGTCGATCGACTTGAAGAAAGTGACGTACGTGTTCGAGGTGTGAGTCGAAATGAACGGCTTTGGAAAACGTAGGTGTGCCAGGCATGGAAGATGGGCGCCGTCTAGCAGAGGATGGTCGCAGAGCTGGTCTAACAAGTTCTCCCGACTTTTTCCTAAGCATCGGAGGCTTCCTTCTAGCCATCTCTGCTTCCCCGTCACTTAACTCATCATCAGAGCCTGTGGTAGGTGTTTCGGGTGCCGACTGGTGGCTTTGACTGCTTCTTAGATCGAGGAAGACTGTTTCCGTACTTGATCTGGTATGTTGAATCTTTCGAAGAGGAGGTCCTGGAGGAGGTTGAGATGATTCCATGTGTTCCATCATCGATTTATCCTTTGTATCCTTTGTATCCTTGCTGATAGGTAAAACAGATATTGCCTGGGTAAGTTTTTCTATCTCCGATGTCGTCCTGATGGGTGAATTCTCTCGGTGTTGTTCGATAATTCTGATAGCAGCATGTAACTCCTCTAGATTCTCCAACTTCCTCCCTCTTGATCCACTATCCTCTTCATCAGAGTTCTGAGTTGAGTCAGGTGGTGACATGACTACACCAACAGGCATCTTAGTTTCGTCCGTTACAGGTGGAGGTGATTGTCGAAGACTGCTTGAGGCAGTCAAGCTACTATTTGTATCATGACCCTTCTCACCATCTGCTGTACCCGGAGGTGTTGGCTCTAGTGCTGTGGCAAAAGTGGTGGATTTAACCGAAGGAGTACGCCTATGTCTAGTGAGGTATGATGTGGATCTTGGCAACTCCGGTCTTGGAGTTGGGGTTTGATGACTTTGTTGGTATGAGGAGCGTCTGGAGATAGCAGGGGAATGAGAAGAAGAGTTGGCAGGAGACCGTTGGGAAGGTGGAGTATAAGGCATCCTACGACGTGTACCTCTTTTTGTTTGTTGGACAATCCTTTCCTTTGTAAAACAATTCGATGGAGGGTTGGAGGGGTTTGTCGAAAGATAGCAATCCTAGTTTCCGCTTAACATGGAGTATTTGAAAAGAAATCCAGTGAATTCTTAACAATTGTGGACTGTTTGTAGAGGAAAGTACGGGTTAGCTACATCCTCACACTTGCATGAAAGAAGTGAAGAAGGAAAAGAAGAGAAAAAGAGGAATTTTAGGAAACGTGTATGAATGTATGGATGAAGTGGGGTGAGTTGTATGTGTGTGTCATGTAGGTAATTTTTTCGCAGACAGATTGATGCAATGAAACTCATGCTACTGCGTTGGTGATGATGATGATGTTGTTGTTGATGATATTAGGATGCTTTTTTTTTGCGGACTTACATTGAAAGTGGATTTTTCTTATTATTATTATTTTTGGAAATACCCCAGAAAAGATTACTCCGGATTGAGGGATTGAAGTAAAAGTTCAGATAAGAAAGAACAAATGCGTATTCCAGCTATTTCGTTCTTGTCAAATCAGTTTTAACTTCACAAAAAGTATGTTTTCGAATGATTTTTAGAAGTGAGCGACGACCAGAAAGAACCAGACGAACCCGACGCTCTCAAAAATAAAAATCAATAGAAAGTTCGTTGGTTGCGTAGTAGGTTATCTATCCGGTTTCGTGTTGTAATCGAGAATAGATAAGGAAAACGGCGAAATAAAGCTTGAGGCTTGAGGCGTAACCGTTTTGTTTGGAATGTTGAGGTTATAATATTCTTCGAGGGTCCCAGAAGAAAGTCAAATCAATCCCTCTCTTTGACTTATTCAACTGTTCCTTCGCAATAAAAGAGGAAAGAAAAGGTTGTTGAGTTCGAGGTTGTGATTGTTGATTGATTGATTTTCAATGATTGAATGCAAATTCAGTTGGAAAGTGGTGTGCTTTGTTTGGATGGGGGTGATTGTGATTGCTAGGTACGGGGAATGGTGGAAGGGGAAGTACAGTACGGTGATGGAAGGTAGTAATCAATCAATCAATCAATCAGCAAACTTTCCCTTATTCCGATTGATGTATTCGTGGGATATTCACAAGAACTTATTGAATTGAATTGAATTGAATTGTTGTTAATAGCCGTTGAGGAATAAAGAAAATGGAATCCTCGGGTGTGGGTGTAGGTAGGTATGAGGTCGTAGCGGCGGTGGTGGGTGGTGGTGGTAGATAGATAGTGGGTTGGAGGGTAGTCCGCTCTAGTCAAAAGACTGACTAGTGAGATTGGTTGGATTGGAGGTGGTCTAGATGAAATTATTTTGATATGGGTGTGAGTGAGAGAGAAAAAGGTGAGTGGGTGAAGTGGGTGAGTGGGTGAGTGGGTGAGTGGGTGAGCGAGTGGGTGGGTAGGTAGGAGGTAGGTAAGTTGGAGGGCGTGGAGGGAAAAAGAAAATGGGATGGGTGGGAAGTACTGAGTACTGTAATAATTGAATTTACGTGAAAGAGCAAAGCAAAGCAAAGCAAAGCAAAGCAAAGGCAAGGCAAGGCGAGCTAATCAATCTGCTTAAGCAGTTTGGGGAAAAGAGAAATAAAATTCCAAGAGATTGGGGGAAGGAAACAAAAAGGGAAGACCCTTGAAAGTTGGCGGGTTAGAATCAATTATTATTTGGTGGTGCTTGGCTCAATTGAAGTGGTGGGTGAATTTGATATGTGTGTGTCTGTGTGTGTATGTGCACTGTGTATGTTGTCTGGAGTTGGGCAAGGGGAAGGATGGATGGATGGATGGATGTTTGAATATAATATTACGGGTTAGATTCAATCAATATATAGAACAGCAGTAATTTTACAATTTTACTCGATTTGTACTGGGAGGGTAATGATCAATGGCGGGTTAGAACTTAGAATGCTTGATATCAATTTACCTCAAATGATCACCAAGTTAAAATTAATATCAAGGTTTTTCGCTTCGTATTTCGTATCTACTCTATCTATTCTCTTCTATTATTTGATTGGCTAAGACAAGATAGATAGATATCTTTTCCCTATCAGTGACAATCGCATTGTCTTTATTTCACTTTGCAATGCCTCTTTTCCTCCCCATATAAGAATGATGCAGAGTACAAGGTTGAACTCCTTATAGAAATAATATAACAGGGGGCATTATAGATAACACAGCTAACCAACTAACTGTATTCCTAAAACATTTGACGCCGACTACAGTCTGATAACTTTGTAAGCTACTGTCGCATATGTTTTATCTGTACTTCGTATATACAAACATAATACGAATTATGTATTATCAAGGAAAGTTATCAAGAAACTTCCTCATCATCGCCAACATCATTTATCCCCAAAATCCCCACAATGTAAAGAAAACCTCATCCAAGTATGTATCTCTACCTAAACTACTGTATGAAAACAATGTCATTCAATCATTGGATCAACAACCCAGTATTCCATGCGTGAAAGAGGATATTTTGAACTTCAATTGAAGAGTTGGCAAAAGAGGGGAAAAAGCCTGGGTGGGAGTGGGAGTGGGAATCAATCCATAACCGTATGCATAATGTATGTATGTATGTATAGGAAACTTTCATGCCCAAAAAGATTTCTTCAAAGGGAGAGAGAGAGATGATTCTTTTTGATTAGTAAATGATTTGATTTGATTTGATTTGATCTTTGAACTATCCATTCGAGTTATCTGTTGATGGGTAACTCCGTATACTCGAGTACAAAATCAGTTTAAACTTATTGTACAAATGTACATAAACTCATTGCTTATTCATCTATATATTACTCGAGTAATGTTTTCGGATATCATTACTAATCAAGTAGTAATCCTGAAAATCAATAAAGCTTTCAAGTCCAGACCATTATCCAAGATCAATCCAAAACCCTTACGAGTAAGTTACGTTACCTAGGGTTTAATTTATAGACAGGGCATTTTAAATATCCGATCTACTCGAATAACATTCTCTTTCGACTTCAACACCCATAATGAAACAAAATACTAATCACCCTACTCAAACATTTCCATCAAGAGAGTACTCCGTACAAGGTAGTGTTTACAACCCCCAGCTCATGCATAGAAAATCCTTGATTTTCGTACTGCCATTTTGGTCTATTGTGGCTTATTTTGCTTGATCTTACCTTACCTTGGCGTTTAATATCCATCCATCCATGCATGTATAATGTGAGAAGAGGAAGGAAGGAGGGTGAGAAAGAGGGATGTGAATCGGAAGAGGTACGATGATACCAACTGTTTGTTTAATATCACGCAATATGGTACGCAATACGAGTATCTGTCGAGGGGTAGATTGGTAAGGTAGTTAGTTACTCGAGTAGATACATACCGGTATTGATTGATATTGATAATCGCGTACAAACCGTCGATTATACAGTACCTACCTATCTAGGTATTTAAATATATTTCACCAAAGAATTCTATATGTACCCAGAAAGTAACTCATCTATCTACAACAACAAAGCACATTCCAAACCCACCCATCGCTCTGTCCTCGAAGTTCGAACAAGGCAAGAATAACTCTAAACAGATACAGCACATAGAAATCTCTTTTCATGCACCTCCATCCTGAAGCAAGCTTCATTTTCCTCGTAGATTTTCTCATCAACCCTTGTACCTCCATAGGTAGGTAGATAGGTAAGGTAGGTAGGTAGTACAGAAGTAGTGCCAAGCAATCAAGTAAGCAAGCAAGCAGGATTTTATAAACACATTTTCAAAAAATGCGAACGCTAGATACCTAAGACATGGACAGCACAGATACTCGGGTACTCGGGTCCCACAATTCATACTGTATGTATTGGTAGGTATATACAGTATGGGTTATATCAAAAAACATCTCTGAGCCTCCATCTATCTCTATCTCCATTTCCATCCTCAATTCTTACAAATCCAACTTTTGGAACTTCAGAGAGAGATGGATGGAAGTGGAGGCGGGGTGGTGGTGGCGGGGGCGGGGACACATATGTGTGTGGATTTCATGCACAATCTGTGTTGTATTAATTTGCTATACTCTCTTCTGTGTTGTACAAGACAAGTAAGTAAGCAACATATTTAAATATGTAAAGAGTATGTATGTATGTATGTACCCCTCGGGTTCAATCATTCACCTAATATGATATCTAATCTTGAATTTTCAATATGATTATCATGTAATATCTGGGTTCCCTGTAGTGTAGTGTAGTGTAGTGTAGTACAGTGTAGTACTTGAGTATATACCTAGATAGGTATCCCGTTGCTTTCTATACATACATTATATATACAATAGTAATACTCGAGTAGTAGTAGTGGTGTGTATATCAGTATCTATTATAGAAGATAGATAAATATATTGTAAATGGTATAGTACCGGTATCCAATGTAATTCCCAACAGAACGGATGTCAAGATGTAGTAGTAATCTTAGATATGATTAATTAAGTATGTATCTCCGAGAAAACATCTTTTCGATATAAGTACTCTGTACTATCTAACCCGATGTATCTATCCATCTCATCTCCAAAATAAAGAAAAGATAAGAAAAGAACAGAACAGCCCGACTTCCTCCCTACCCCCTACCTCCTCTACCTATCTAATGATCCAACCATCCATCCATCTATTCATCCATCTCATCCATCCATCCATCCATCCATCCAACCATCTATCTATATTCGAAACCAATCATGCAATGCACAATCATTCCAACCGAACCCAAACCATGAAAAATTTCCCATTTTCCCATTACGGAAAGTAGCTATGCTATCCTATACCGGCTCCAAAAAGATTCACCTCGAATATACTCTCCCTGTACCTATATCGACTACACAACCATATATAAATCCCTCCACACACCCTCTTCGGCATTTCATATCCGTGGCCGATGTCGTGCTGCCATTCAGCATAATCATGCCATGCCATGCCATTTACTGGTAAGGTAAGGTAGTATAGATAATTAGACTTCTAATTGTCTGGATTTTATTTTATATCGGTAAGGTTAAGGTTGT